AAATCCAGAGACCCCACCCTGAGATTGCCTGCTCTAGCGTTTGAAATGTGTGGGGAACCTGCTGAGACCTTGCTGGGTGTTGGGAGGATTCTGAGCAGTGTGCATATGGAAAATAGTGAGTGACTAAATTCAGCCCCACCGGGCAGTGGGGTGGATGCAGCAGCCATCAATGGTTTTCTTTTAAGGATACTTGGATTTTGGATACAGTGTATCTCGAGAAATGTCTTTGGTCTTATTTGCCTCACATTATTTTAGGGTTAGCAAGATTGCTTCCGGGTGAGAGAGCGTTGCCGCCAAGCCTGATGACCTGAGTTTGAGCCCCAGAGTTTACACGGGGAACAAAGAAAACCGACTCCTGCATGTTGTCCTTTACCTGCCAGCCTCCCTAACAGTGAATGAGCGGATGCTTGTGAAAATTGCCGATGCTATTTTTGTAAGAACTTGTTTACTGACTTTTTTTTAGATTAGGTCTATGGATCTCCTGAAACTGGAGATATGGGGGCTGTGAGCCATCAGATATGGGGGCTGGAGACTGAGCTCAAGTCCCCAGGCAAGAGCAACAAGTGCTTTCTGCCCTGAGCCATCTCTCCATCCCCTCCGCTGAGTTTTTGACATAGCTAAAGGACACATACCCGGTGGTTTGCGGCCTGCTTCCCACCACAGTTATTACTTGGTCAAAAAGACAAAAAATCCTGGAGAGTTATGGACCAGTATGCCAGCCTGTGTAATAGAGTGCCGATGTCCCAGGAAGGGAGACCGTGTGTCCGTTTTGTTGTTTGTTTTTTAAAGTTCTCATTGGGTGTTGTGGCCCATGACTTTTAACCCCAGCATTTGGGAGGTAGAGGCAGGCAGATCCTAGAGCAGTGGTTCTCAACCTTCCCAATGCTGTGACCCTTTAATACAGTTCCTCATGTTATGGTGACCCCCAACCGTACAATTATTTTTGTTGCTAATTTTGCTACTGTTAAGAATCATAATGTAAATATCTGTATTTTCTGATGGTCTTAGGTGACCCCTGTGAAAGGGTCATTTGATACTCCACTAAGGGGTTGTGGCCCGTGGGTTGAAGACCACTGTTTTACAAGTTCTTCTGAAAGAAAAGAGGAGAGGTTGTATTATACAAGGCTGACCCTGGCCTCTCTTGATGTCCCTCGGGGAGGTAACCTTTGTTTACTTTTATCCTTGTAGGATCCCTGAAGGGTGCTTTAATACCCACAGATTAACACCAGTTTATTGTTGGGTTGCTATTGGTGGTTGCTGTATTGTTTCTATTATGAAATTGCAGCTTTCTAAAATTAGATGCCTTTAAATGTTTTCTTATGACAAAAAATAGATGTTCATTTTTAAAAATAGGATAAGGCAGGAAGTGGGAAAGAGACAACTCTTTCATCCAGGGGACTATTTATCTTGCTGCACAGTTCGTTAAACACACCCGCCCACCCTCACCCCCTCAGCCCGCTCTCAGTACAGAAACATTCTCAGCTTCTGGAGTCCGTCACTGCAGTGATGGTTGTAACCTCTGGAACTTGAAAGTGGCCACCCTTCCCCCCCCCTCACTCTTTGCTGGTTGACTTTTATGAAACTGCCATGTGTTTGAGTCCTGGGGTGCACATACCCTAGGACCTGTCCTTCGTTCTGAAAAACGGTTGTTGATTGGTTCATCAGATAAAGGTGGGGCGGGGCAGCGGCAGTGTCTTAATCTGGACTAGAACGGTGAACTATGTATTTTGTTCTTTTTTTGTTTGTTTGTTTTTTGTTTTTTTGTATTTTGTTCTTTTAAGGACTATTTTCTGGAAGACGAGGGCCAGAATGAGAGAGGTGTTCCTTGGCCAGGAGGAGAGTTGCTAGGGCCAGTAACCACCCAGAAACAGCTGAGGTTGTGCTTCGGTTCTGGCTGTCTCCGCAGCTTTAACCTGTGAAGGGTGTGCCACCGAGCAAGGGCCACTCTGCACTGTCAGCAGGTGCTGCGTCCCCTCGTGAATCCTCTGAGCTACTTTCTTCTGATGTGTGTGCAAAGGTCGGATGAATTTACAGGGATGGGACATATGACCGACCTAGGGAATGTCTCCTCCCCTCCAGCTGTGAAGTACACACAACTGGTTCCTGAGTGGCATTTGTCGTTTTCTAAACACTGGTGCTTTTATTTTTCCAAGTGGTCCTAATCTATGTGTACTAAAAGGACTAACAGTAAGAGTAGGCTGAGCTAGTGTGACCTTCAGCTACAACCTCTCTGAAAGGACTTAGGGAGCCGGTGATCCTATCCCCCTCCTGTTTTCTTAGGCTTCCTCATCTTCTCAGTAAACCAAAATAAACGAATCCTGACTAAGTGTTTGGTTGATGGAGGGCTTATATTTGAGTAGATTCTATTCCCTAAGTCCTTTGTGTAAGTGGGGTCTTGCTATGCGGTGGCTTCAGACTTGTGCATACCTAGCTTTGCATGGGGTGGGGGAGACAAGTGTCTTTTCTGGTCTTTCTCCACTTTTTTGACTGAAGCAGGCTCTCTCACTGAATCTGGAACCTGCTGATTTGCTCAATCTAGCTAGCTTGCCTCAGGGACCAGCTCACCCCGGTGCTCTTACCCATGAGCACTGGGGTCACAGGTGCACTGCCCTGCCTTGTGAATGTTGGGGTCCCAGATGATGGTACTCGTTCTTGCATGGTGAGTGTTTGATCTACCAAGCCAGCCCCCAGCCTTCTCAGTGCTTTTTATTCTTCCTTCTCTTTTTAAAGAAATTACAGTTATTTATCTGGGGGAAGATGGCATGTCCCATGGCATGCGAAAAATCTTCAGAAGTCAGTTCTCTTCTCCCTTGTGGTTCCTGAGGTGCGAACTCAGGTTGCCTTGCTTGGTAGCCAACACCTTTGTCAGCTGATTCATCCCGTTGGCCCCCAGACCACTTTGGGAGAAGCTCCATTATAATAGACTTTGTGTCTGTTCGTCTTCCTTTTAGCTTCTTTTGTAATGATGCCTAGGTTAGTAGTGTCTGATAGATTAGTAATGTCGGAGTTCTAACAGACTGCTCTCCTCATTTTATTTGAGGGGTCTGATCTTTGGAGTTCAGAGTGTCTTTTCTCTTAGTGGTACTGGAGAAATTGTGTTTAGACTAAACCTTTGCAAAGTGGATTGGGAAAACCCTTGTGCGCCTCCCAAGTGAGCCTGGTAGGAAAGGGTGGCGTTCTCATTGGGTTTGTTACTGAGCATTTCTTTTCTTTATTTTTTTTAATATTTATTTACTTATTGCGGATACAATATTCTGTCTGCATGTATGCCTGAAGGCTAGAAGAGGGCACCAGACCTCATTACAGATGGTTGTGAGCCACCATGTGGTTGCTGGGAATCAAACTCGGGTCCTTTGGAGGAGCAGGCAGTGCTCTTAACCACTGAGCCATCTCTCCAGCCCCCCTGAGCATTTCTTTCCCCTACCCCTCCCCAGTGTGAGTCCTCTATTTTAACATGCATTTTATTTCATTTCAGATTGGGCCTCCTACTCTCAGTGTCCCGCCTCCACCCCCACTCTGCTCCCCCTCCCCGCCTCAGCCTCTGAGTGCTGGGATTACAGGTCCTCTTGGTCTGCTCTAATAAGGACATGAACAATGGGAGGGGAGGGAGAGGCACAGTGAAGCTGGGCCTCCCTGCCCTTCTGTACCCACCAGTTACAAGCCTGGCAGGCTGTGGGAGCTCATGTCCCAGGGATACTTTGATACACTCTTTATCCCCAAGGAAGCTTTAAGTTTATTTGGGGGACCATAATAGGGCTCTCAGTCTGCTGTTAATGAACCCCAGTGAAGAATTGGGCAGGCTACTGAAAGCCTTAATTAGGAAGCGGCTTTTCAAATGCACTCTTATCAGCTGTAACCGTGGGTCCTGAGGGCTGCAGAGTAACCTGGTGGGCAGTGTGGAGCTTGGCCTGACAAGTAGATATTTGACTGCGGGTGAGAGGGTGCCGGTTGTGGGAACCTGAACTTAAAACAAACAAAACCCTGAGAAGGGAATAGGGGAGATAATTACAGATAACCCAGCAGTTTGGTATTTTTGTGAGATGGAAGCCAGTCTGACCTGGTAGTCAGGATGCTCTGGGACCTCATGGAGCTCCCCACTGTGCCTCCAGGTACTCCTGAAGTACCCCAACCCTGCTTCTTCCCTGTGTGTTCCCCTTGAGCTGTTCTTCAAAGCCACATTCCACCAGAGAAATGAAAGACTTTGTGTTTCCTGGATGACCCTGGCTCATTCGAGGGTCCAAATTAACAGCCAGTATTGACCGAAGTCTCAAATCTAGACACTTTGGATTTGTTAATGAACAAAACAGACGAGGGTGAGGGGAGCTTGAGAGGAGGGTGATGGGGCTGTGGTGCATGCAGCCACAGCATAGTCCATGTGTGTGCGAGGGTGTCATAATGAAGCCCCCTTATTTTGTAATCAGGGTTTTTTTTGGGTAATAAAAGTAAATGAAATGTAATAGCAGCTCACAAATCTTTAGTAGTCTATTACTGCCAAAATACTGATAGTATTTTAAAAAAAAACCAGTAAGAATAGGGACTTGTGGAGTTGTGCCCTCTGTGGCTAGAACAGGAGAAAACAAATAACCAGAGAGAGGGACAAATACTGAGCTCATGGTTCTGAGTGCACCTATTACTGATGCCTAAGTTAAGTCATGTAAACTCAGTCACCCAGACGTTAGGCTTCTCCTTTACAACTCATAACCGTTGGTGGAGCTGGGGTTTGAACGCAGACATTTGACTCAAGGTTTGTGATCGTAACTACTTGGCTCTCGTGGCTTTTCAAGAAACAGAGATAAATCTAATTATGGCGGTGGATTAGCGCCGGGTCGGCTGTCTTGCCGCAGTCGTTACAGTTATAGGAAATAGTGTGATCCAGCGCCCGGTCATCCCCAAGCTATCCTGCCAGCTCTGTCCTCGTCTCTGTCCCATTCACGGTGAGATCTAGTCAAGGCTGCCCCAGTGCCCTGGCATTCTCGGTAAACCTCTTCCTTTTCCTCTAGTTGAGACGGGAGAAGATTGACCTGGAAAACACGCTGGAGCAAGAGCAAGAGGCTCTGGTGAATCGGCTGTGGAAGAGGATGGATAAGCTGGAAGCTGAAAAGAGGTTTGTGTAGCCTTGGTCGTGTGCGTGAATATGTGCATGCGTGCTTGTGCGTGGGTGTGTGCTTGTATGTGCGTGGGGAGAGGGGGTATGTGAGTGTGGAGGACTCCTGGCTGTTACTGTGGAGAAAAGAGGGACATTTGAATTGCTTGGGTGACACACACACTCCTAATCTGTTAAAGGAAATAAATGTTGATCTCTCTCGTGGCGGTCTCCTCCCTGTGCCTTGTTTTTCTCTTCCCTCCAGAGTCAGAGTCGACCATGATGCCACAGATCACCTGTTAATTAGTGTGCATCTCTAGGATTCACTTAAGTTGGAAGATTTTAATAGAAAAATGGCTAGCCTGCTCTTAAACCTGTTGTAAATAAAAACCTGTGGAAGTTGAACACTTGTGCGTTCAGTGTACAGATAAAAAGTGTCACCCCAAAATGGATGTCTCCTAAGTGACCTTGTTGCAGATTGCCTTGGTCCTCGTTTTTGATGGCACTGTGCTTTAGAGTTGGAAGGGACAGAACTTAGAAGAATGGCAGGAAGATCCTGTCTCAGAGCTTTGTGTGGGGTAAAGGCCAGTTTCCTTTGAAATTGGTTATTAGTTCCCTGCCCCAGGGTCTTGTTTGCCTCCCAGAAGCCTGAGCGTTGGTTTTAAAGCCCTGCTCACACTGTTCTGAGTTCATAACGCAGAATTACAAGCACCAAACCAACCTCAAGAGTTTAAGAAAAGTGAAAATTCAAAATATATGTCTGGGAGCCATCCTCCAGTTGTTAGCATTATGCTAGCAGTTCTAATAAACTGAATTGTGCAGTTATTTTGTGATTGTGGCCATATTTACCTGTTAATTTTCTCAACTAGGGTAGAACGACAGGTGAGTCAGTTTGCAGTTAGCTTACAAACTTGAGGTAAACAACTAAACCCAAAGCAAACCCCAGGAGCCCTGGCAGCTTACAGAAGGAGGTTAGAGAGTGTTGCAGTTAGCCTGCCCTTTTGGAATGCAGTTGAGGCTTTATGTACATATAATTGTATTGTTATTGAACTTAGCTGTAAGAAATGGTCATTTTGTAGGCAAAATGCTGTTGACCCTTTTTTTTAAGATTTATTTATTTATCGTGTATACAACATTCTGCTTCCATGTATGCCCACACACCAGAAGAGGGCACCAGATCTCATTACAGATGGTTGTGAGCCATCATGTGGTTGCTGGGAATTGAACTCATGACCTCTGGAAGAGCAGTCAGTGCTCTTAACCACCGAGCCATCTCTCCAGCCCCAACCCTTTTTTTTTTTTAAAGTTTTATCTGAATGATAATAGCTGAGTGCACCAGCTATTAACCGAAGAATTCTGATTGGATTTGTTTTTTTAACATCATTGGTCCCAGTTTTCCAAACCGTCCCCACAGGTTTTTATCAGGAGGAGCTTTACTGACTGTAAGTGACTTCCTCTTCCAGAGTGATTCATAGCGGTTCCTAAATTTCACCCAAAGCATCCTTTACAGCCAGCTTGCTAACCACAGTCAGCTAGTGTCTGAATGCTGGCTGTACCCTGGGCGTAGTGCCCAGAAAGGTGTTCCACAGACTTTCCAGTTACAGTTGACTGCCAGGGTCACTCAAAGAGCAGAAGGAACAGGAATGATGGCTTGGTGGGTCATACGTACAGCACAAAACCCGAGGACTTGAGTTCAGATTCCCAGTACCCACATAAATCTGGATACGCTAGCCCATGGGTGTAATCCCAGTGTGCTCCTAAAGCAAGATGGGAGGTGGAGACAGAATTCCCAGAAGCCCGGGCTGGTTTACCTTGCTTAACAGCAGAGAGTGAGAGCCCTCATTACACACGGGGTAAAGGGAGGACCCACACCTGAGAGAGCCCTTTGCCCTCCACGTGGAGGTAGCATGTGTACTAACACATGAACAAGAAACACAAAAGGGCTGAGATCTTGCTATGCCGCCTGTTTGACCTGTGGTAATTGTAGCTGAGGATGGATAGAGAGGTGGTGAGGTAGACAGAGGCGTCAGTCTGTCCTCCGGATGCTTTCCAGGCCTCCTCTCAGCGCGAATGTTGTGTAATCTTCTACTGCAAACTGGTCTTCATTGTTGCTTTCTTTTCTTTTTTCTTTTTTTTTTTCTTCTCTTCCTGGCTGTGAAGAATCCTACAGGAGAAATTAGACCAGCCTGTGTCTGCCCCACCATCGCCTAGAGACATCTCCATGGAGATTGATTCTCCCGAGAACATGATGAGGCATATCAGGTTTTTAAAGAATGAAGTGGAGCGGCTGAAGAAGCAGCTGCGAGCCGCCCAGTTACAGCGTACGTGGCCTCCCGTCCCCTCGAGTTCCTGTCTGCCGCATCAGTGCGTGTACCAAGCCCACGTCAGTCCCTGTGCTTGCTAATGAGCTTGCGGTAGTCATGGTCACAGTGTGCTTGATTAGTGACGCATAGACTTTTATGTACGCGTGTCCCTGTCATCTTGGGGTATATATTTTTAAAAAGGAAGCCATCGTAGGGGAGGGCCGATAATTTAGAATACTTCCAGAAGATGCTTGTGATGATCTCAAGAGGGAAGTCACTGAATTAGCGGGTTCCCGGACATCTTCCTTCCTTCCTTGCTGAGATAAAATTCTCTACTGAAGGGAAAATGTGCTTATTTGGCACACAGATTACAGCTCCTAGTGACATGGGAAGTCACAGGGGAACTGGTCACATCACTCCCTCGGTTGGGAACAGAATAGTTGATTAATTCATATCTCTGCTCAGCTACCTTTCTAAAATACATATAAAAGATATACGTATATCTTTCATATGTATATATATATATTTTTATATGTATATACACATATGTATTTCATGTTATTTTGATTATAGTCACTGTTCTCCCCCTAACTCTAGCCACCCTCACCCTCCATCACTACACTTCTGCCTTTTATTTAACTCCCTGAACCCACTCGTGCTGTCCAGGCACTCAAGTGTGGGGCTGTCCACTGCAGCAGAGTCAGCCTACCAGGGCCGGACTCGGACCCTGGACCTCAGGAAAACCGATTGGGAACGGTGCCACTCATGGGGCATATCACCCCACAGCAGTGAATATAATTAAAATAACCCTTCCCACATAATTTTCTGAGGACCCTTTTCCACGTGGTTCTGTTACCGGATGTGACTAGGGGGAGCGGGTCACAACCTGTAACCCCAAATCAGATCTGGCGACCTGTCCTCAGTAAGGCAATAAAGAGGCCAAATTCTGGGCTAGAGAGTTAGCCCAGTGGTTAAGAGCACTGGCTGCTTTTCCAGAGGACCCAGAATCAATTGCCAACACCCGTGTGGCAGCTCACACCTGTCTGTACCTCCAGTTCCAGGTGATGCCAATGCACATAAAATGAAGTTAAATAAATAAAAAAATAAAGCCAAATTCATAGTGGAAAGCAGAAAAGGAAGATTTAGTCACTGGCCACACTGGGGAAGTGGACAAAGAGCGAGCAAAACTCTCAAGTCTGTGTTCGGGTCCTGAAGTAAGATAAATCCAAACCAGTTTCAACACATTGTTCCCACCAGTGGGCTGTTTTCCATCCCCTTCCCAGCCTATGGACCACATGGAGTCTGAGCCCCAACTGTTTCCGAGACTCAACCCAAACGGAGAACTCAAGACCGACCTTCAAGTGCTCCTGAACCAGGGGTGGAAGCTGGGGAGCTAATGTCACAGCTACACCAAAGGGGGTGCAGACCGTCTGATATACAAAGTTGGAGACAGAGAATGGGACAGGACATTAACATGTTGTCCTCTAAGCCTCACTGAGACCAGCTGAGCTACGCTGATGGCCTCTTTGGGCCAGCCTTTTCTGTCCTGGGGAGCAAAAATCACACTAGCGTTCACAGATGTCTTCAGCAAGATCTGCAGGCCTTTAAGAGGCCAAGCAGTGCAGTGAGTGCCAAGGGATGAGAGTAAAACATCCTTCCCTTGAACCGAGGATTGAATATTAATCAGTCCAGGTCAGAGTGTGGCCCCACCCATCATGGACGCCACTTTGTCTGGGTTTCAGTCCCATTCTCTAGAGTGTAAAATCTCTTTTCCGGGGAGACAGGGTCCTTTCCGCCTGTCACCTTTTCCTTCTCCCGGTTTGAGATTTCCGGGGAAATTCCAACTCCTTTGGTGCCCACTGTTTCAGTACTTTGATGTGGGAGTAAAAGACAAAAGTGTTTATTCCAGCCAGAATCACATTGGCAATTAACCCTATCAGGCCAGGTGACCTTTGTAATCGTGTTTATCTGTCTGATGTGCTAATGAGTCTGTGCAGGAGCCCCCCTGCAGCTCTGGACTAGGAAGGGGGCACTGTGGAGGGTGTTTGCCTTCCTTATTGCTGCATCTAATCTCAGCTGACATTTGCACGTGGTATTTGCAGAATAAATGCTTCTGAAATTTAGACTTAATATTTTGGAAAAGGCCAAGGTGTGGAGTGGAAATCAGGGTCCTGGGTTTCTGAACTTGTCTAGGTCACTTTGCGTTTTTAGGAGTCTACCCTCCTCCTGACATGTTTGCAGACATGTCTTCCTTGAGGTAATATTGTGGGGGCAGGGCTTCCCTTTCGCTGTGACTGGCAGGAGAGCAGTTTTCATGGGCAAGTGCCTAGTGTTCTTGCACGTGTGTGCATGCATATGAAATTGCTTTGTACTAAGAGCTGCACCGTGAGCATCACCTTCTGCATCTCTCTCTTTGAAAACAGCTTTGTTTTGTTTTTTCAGGACAGGGTTTCTTGGTGTAGTCCTGACTGTCCCGGGACTCGCTCTGTAGACCAGGTTGGCCTTGAACGCAGACATCCACCTGCCTCTGCCTCCCTAGTGCTGGAGTAAAGGTGTAAACCACCATCGCCTAGCAAAAACAACTCGTCCTGCAGTTCTTCTCCTGGCTACCTACACCCCTGTCTTGGGCCCTCTTTCAGGGCTGACTGTTCTGTACATTAAGTGGCCATTGCAAGTGATCCATGTTTAAAATATTCCTTTTTGCATTTATTTGTTTGTTTGTTTACGTGGCGGGTGTGCACATGGCCTGGTGCTCATGTGTTGGTTAGAGAACAGCTTGTGGGGGTCGGTCCTCTCCTTTCCCCATGTGGGTTGAGGGATCCAGCTCGGGCTAGCAGGCTTGGTGGGAGCCTCTTACCTCAAGGACCATCTCACAAGGCCCAAGTGACCCTTGTTGGTTGGACTCCAGCTGCAGTGAGCATGCTTGTGCGTGCACCTTACTTCTCTCCTGAAGCGCATTGCAAGTAGGGGTCCAGTGTTTTGTCTTGGATGGTGGGTACATCAAGATCGTGGAAGTCTTCCAATAGTGTAGCGTATTCTCTCTTACTGTTACAGCAACAAGTCTAGGCACAGGCTCTGTATAAAAGCTCCCCTTTTGTTTCGGGCCGCTTGGGGTTCCATCTATGCCGCCTCTTTGGTTCTTCTTGTAGGGCTGCCACTCCCATGTCCTCTCCCTGTTCAGGTCCCCTTTTCACTGACTAACCCTTGTGATTACCTCACACCCACCCTGATAATCCAGGATTATCTCGCCACCCTGAATCCTTAACTTCATCACACCTACGGAATCCCTCTTGTCTCTGCCGCGTCACGCAGTCTCGCCTGTTGGGGATGAGCCTGTGGGCGCTACCATCGTTCCTGCCAGCACTGGGTGGTTTCCGGAGTTCTTCCAGGACTAGACTGTAGTCCGCTGGCATGTTCGTTTTTAATCCTAGTCATTCTGAGGTGTATCTTAGGTAACTGCATGAAGCCCATAAACCGGGTGAGCTAAATGAAAACGTTCTCCATGCCGGTTTGTCTGGGCTGGCTAGGTGGTGCGTTTTTATCACCTCTTCCCAGGGCTCCCAGCTCCCTTTCTCCTCCTCGGTCATGCTTGACTAGTCGTCCGCGAGGGAAGGATGCTTTATTCTCATCCCTCAGCACTCACTGCACTGCTTGGTCTTTAAAAGACCTGCAGATCTTGTTGAAGGCATCCGTGAATGGCTAGCGTGATTTTTTCCCCCCCAGGACAAAAAAGCCTGGCCCAAAGAGGCCATCAGCATCACTCAGCTGGTTTCAGTGAGGCATCTTTAGAGGACAGTGTGTCCGTGATCCGTCCTCTTCTCTGTCTCCAACCTTCCGTGTCAGATAGCCTGCATACACCCCCTTTACTGTAGCTGTGGAGTTAGCCCGTCAGCCTCCATCCCTGTCATAAACAGTTAATGGTCTCAAGTTCTCAGTTTGGGTTAAGCCTTGGAATGTGCTGGGGCTCAGACTCCCTGTGGTCCATAGGCTGGTAAGGGGACGGAAAGCAGCCCGCCTGTGGGAGCATTGCTTAAATGATTCAGATGCCACCCTCATTGGATGACCCGTGTGGTTCGATTTCAGGAGGTACTAGACTATGAGGGCCATTCAAACAGTGCTCCCCCCCCCCACTAGACAGGGAGTAACAGTGACCAGCAGAGGGCACCCAAGGAATGCCTTGGTTCCAGCCTCCTGTGCCTGGGTCTGGACACTGGAGAAGTTGTGCTTGGGACTTGAGTTAACTAGATGTGTCGACAGGAAGTCCTGAAGTCCTGTCCGAGGTGACCTTGTCTCTAAGTTACTGTCTCAGCATTCTTCTGCCGGGTCCCCATATGCTAGTGAATTGCCCTCTCTTAGTTTTGTCTGTTGTATTGTTCGTTTGTTTGAGATGGGGGTCTCACTGTGTAGCCAGGCTGACCTCGAACTCTCAAACCTCCTACCTTAATTGCCCCCACCCCACCCCGGGTGCTGGGAATACAGGCATGTATCTCATGCCCAGCCTGAATTGCGATTTTTCTTTGAAAAACGATGTTTCCTCTTAAGTCACTGTCCTGGGAGACTTTGCTTTCTGCGGAGGAGAACTTGCTCTGTAGTCGCCACTCTGCGTTTGAGCAACGTCCGGTCCACCCAGGGCCACCTGGTGCTTCCTGTAGCTCTCAGTGGGAAGTCTGTGCACAGCCCTGCTTGGGGAGACTTAATTTAAGCTGTCCATCTTAAAAGTGAGCTTTGTAAGTGTTTTCCCAGCATCACTTCAATTAAAAAGACTTTGCATATGGATTAGGCTGCGGGGCTTCCGGCTGTATTCAAAACAGCCGAGAGATTTAGTGTTTAGTCTACATAATGGTGTCTAATAATCTGAGTATTTTAGTTTCCGAAACAGGGAGAGTCCAGACTGGAGAGATGGCTCAGCAGTTCAGACTGCTTACTGCTCGCCCATTTCAGTTCCTAGCAGCTGTAATTTCGGCACTAGGGCATGGGACGTCGTCTGGCTTCCATGGGCATTGTACTCCACTGCGCATACTAACACACAGACACACATCTACGCATAATTTAAGATAAAACAGTTTTCTTACATTAAGAAATACAGTTTAAGAGCTTTTGTATATTCTGAAAGGATGCATGCTTGGAAATCATTGAATAATTGTTACCAGAAGCCGTTATTGGGCAGGCGGGCTCAGGGGGTAAAGGTGCTTGCCACCAAGCCTGAGGACCTGAGTTTGATCCCTAGAATCCACATGATTGAGGAGCGAAGCAGCTTCCGAAGGTTGTCCACGCACACCTGGATGCGGCTTACATTACACTTCATGGAGAAGAGTTGTTGTTAACTGTGTGAAGTTCTGTTTTACAAGAATGTTATCTGAACATCATCTAGCACACCATGCACAGTGGGTGACTCCCCACCCCCCAAGTGGCCTGTCTAGAGTGGACAGGCAGCCTGTCACCCTAACTGGGCTCCTTCTCTCCCAGCCTCTACCGTGGAAGAGAAGGAAGTCTGACTGTCCTATGAATGTGAAGTCACCTAGCCGACCAACACTGCCTGTTAGATCATTCGCTAACTGTAACTCACTTGTGAACTTTGACGCCAAGGATTAATTTTAAGCCCTGGACTCCCGCTGGGGGGGGAGGAGCGTTCCACAGGTGGGGTAATGATTGCACAAACCCGCGGTTTAATTGCCAGCTGTGGCTTTTCAGATTCCGAGAAGATGGCCCAGTACTTGGAGGAGGAGCGGCACATGAGGGAAGAGAACCTGAGGCTGCAGCGGAAGCTCCAGAGGGAGATGGAGAGAAGGGAAGCGCTGTGTCGCCAGCTCTCCGAGAGCGAGTCCAGCTTGGAGATGGATGATGAAAGGTTTGCATCCGTTCCCCTCCCCGCCCCCGCCACACACACACACCATCTGTACCTCCGGTCCCAGGGCATCCAGTGCTCTCTTACGCGCGCCCCCCCCCCCTCCCCCGCCCCAGGCACCAGGCAAGTAGGCTGTGTCCAGGCATACATGTAAAGCACCCCCACACATAAACTGATTATAAAATGATATATTCTAGAAGGACAGAGCTTAAATGTCACGTGGGGCCGTGGTGATGAGTACCCCCGCGCTGAAGCTCATGCTTGCTATAGATGTGCAGGATGGGATGCTTGGCTTACGCTGGAGCAGAAAGTGCCCTTCTGGAATGGCGGGCAAGGGAGGAGTGGAGGCAAAGCTGACATTTGTTTTGTTTTTAAATCTTCGACATTGGTATTTAAATGTAAGCAAAGTACTCGAGAAACACATTTGCTGCTGTTCCTATTTCTGGTAACGGGAATAAATAAGTTCACATACTTGGATACAAACACCACAGGCGCATTTAGCAGGATTTCCTCCAAATCTTCAATTGAATTGCAAACATTTTAGTGATTTTTTTTTTTCCCCTTTAGAATATTTGTTACCTCCTTTGTCAGTACACAATGCCAAGCTTTTTTTTTAATTCCTTGATAATTTCAAACGTGTATATTAAGTTTGGATCATTTTCATCCACTATGACTCTCTCTCTCTCTCGCTCCTCTCCCTTTCCATCAGTTCCCTCCTGCTTTGACATATTTGTTTTTAACCCACTAAGTTTTTAGTATTTAGCTCATATATGCATCTGTGTCCTTCAGAAGTAACTCTGCTGTTATGATCTTAATCAGGAAAATATCAGGCCATAGTAATTACAAAATGATCTGTAATCTCTCAAGTATAGTATGTGCATTGACCACATTCACTGCACACCCTCCACTTTCTTCCACCTGATTGGACATCTTTCCGTCCCTCGGCGCCCCCCCCCTTGTGATTTCATGCCCTGTGTGTACATATAAATGGTTTTGTGTATCTATAAGAAATCTAGAACCCACAAATAAGAGAAGACAGGATCCTTGCCTCCGAGTCTGGCTTAGTTGACTTGCTTTGGTTTCCAGCGGCCTCTGCGGTTCAGCAAATAGCCTCGTGTCTGTCTTCTTTACCCTTGTGTAAGCTCCATGGCGTGGGCACGCCGCATTTCCCTTGTGTGTGGACCTCTGTGCAGAATCCATAAGTCAGCTGTTTGGAATAGAACTGTACAGCGGAGATGTCCAGGCATCACTGTGGCGCTGACGTAAAGCCCTCTGGTAGCGGCATATCTGAGGCATAGGACTGTTCTGGTTTTGTTTCTTAAGAAATCCTCATACTGCTTTAGATAGCAGTTGGGCTGGTCCACATTCCCACCAGCAGCCTATGAGGGCTTCCTCGCATCCCCGTCCCCACCAGCATTTGTTCCTTGTTTTCTTAGTCACTACCATTCCGGCCAGGGTGAGAATCTCAGGATAGTTTTGACTGGCATTTCCGTGGTAGCTAAGGATGTTGGACTTTTTTTCATAAGTTTATTGACTGTTGATGAGTTTTCTCCGAGATAGGATCTCACTGTGCAGCTCTGCCCGTCCTGGAGCTCGCTGTGTAGACCAGGCTGTCCTCAAACAGGCGAGGCGTGCCCTGCCACCGCTGGAACAATTGTTTTATCTCGTTTTCCCGTTTACTAATGGGCTTGTTTGGGTTTTTAGTATTTCTCTTTTTAGTTCCTTATTCTGGGTGTCATTGACCGCCTACGTGATGTGTACCTGGCAAAGATTTCTTCTTCAGCCGTTGCTATTCCCATTGGTTGTACATTTCATAGCATCCTGTTTACCAGTTCTTGCTAGCATTTCCTGAGCTGTTGTCTTTCTTTCCAGAAAGTCTCTCCCAGTTAATGCCTGTGTCTTAAAGTGTTTCCCCTAACAGCTTCAGACGCTCAGGCCTTTAAAGTCTTTGACCTGCTTTGAGTTGATTTTTTTTTTTTTTTTTGTACACAGCTTTTACTCTGCCTGTGGGGGTACCCAGTCTTCTCAGCACCATTGTTAGAAAAGCTGTCCATTCTCCAGTGTGTATTTTTGTACCTCTTTCAGAAAAAGCCAGGTAGTTACATGGATCTGAGTCTCCATCTGCTGGTTTTTTTTTTTTTTCGATGTGCCTTGCTGTTTTTATTAGTATGGCTCTGTAGTGTAATTTGAAATCAAACACAGGGACACTGTGAACTCTGTTCCTTCTGCTCGGGATTGCCTTGATTCTGTGGAGTCTTTTTGCTTATATGTCAGCGTCAGGATTTCCTCCCCCCTTCTATGAAGAATGCCTTTGGAACTTAGATGAGGAATGCAAATATCATTATAGCGATTCTGCGTATTCATGCCAATGGAAACAACGTCCATCTTTGGGGGCGTCTTTTTCAAATGCTTTCTTTCAGAGTTTTAAATTTTATCATTGTTGAGATCTTTGACTTCCTGGGTTAGTTTTATTTCTAGGTTTTAAGGTAATAGAATTCATTCCGTGATTTATTTCTTGCCAGGTGTTGGAATATAGAAAATCTGACTTTTTCGATATTGATTTTGTACCTTGTTACTTTTCTGAAAGTATTTATTAGATTTAAGAGTTTTCAGAAGGAGTCCTTGGGATTTTTTTTTATATAATAAATCATTTGTACGAGTAAGAGTCATTCAGTTTCTCCCTTTCTTTATTTGTATCAATTTTATTTCTTTATTTCTGCTTGCTCCTAGCGAAGACTTCATAGCCATAATGAATAAGTGTGGAGAAAGTGGGTGTTCTTGTCACCGTTCTGCTTTGGGCAGCAATGATTTGAGGTTCTCCCATTCAGTGTTGTAGCATGAATGTAGCACAAATATTAAAAACCCAGAGACAGATACCGGGGTTCAGCCTAAAGATCAGAAAAGCAAAGCAGCCAAGCCGCTAGAGAGCGAGTTACTGTCTCATCCCGCCTTACATTCCCCTGTAATGCTGGGATTGAAGGTGTATGCAGCCACTGCCTGGCCTGTATGCCTGACTAGTGTGTCTGCTTTGCTTCAGGCAAGCTTATTAAAACACAAATAATAGACCACCATGTGATGTAACATTGGCTCTCAGTTTGTTGCACATATCCTTTATTACGTTGAGATACACTCCACCCACATCCATAGTTTCTTCACTTTCATCATGAAAGGATGTTGGACTCTGGAGATGGTGAAGCGGTTTCCACGTCGAAGACTGCTGATGGATTTATTGATAGGAGTGTGTTGAACCATCCTTGCATCCCTCAAATGCAACTGACTGGGTCATGGCAAATGTTCTTCTTGACTCCATTTGCAGGCTCTTTCAGTGAGAAGTTTTGCATCTGTGCGCAGCAGAAAGGCAGTCCTCTAATTGGCTGCTGCTGTTGGGTCCTCATCTGGTTTGGGTAGCAGCAATGCTGGCTGTGTGAACTGAACATGGCTGCGTCCTTCCCCTTCCTCTTTGATGCCGTCCTCTGAAGAGTTATGATGTCACCTCTCTGGAAGTCTGGTAGAACTCAGCAGGGAATCCTCCTGGGGCTGCACATTTAAAATTGTTTTTAGTTGGAAAACTTTGTCTTACTAAGTCAGTCTCATTGCTTGACATGAACTCGTCTAAGTTCTAAGTAGCTTATGTCTTCTCAATTTAATTTTGATAAGTTGTGTGTGTTTCAGAATGTGTCCATTTCCTGTAGACTTGCCAATGTTGTAGAGCATAGGTTTTCACATTGTGCCCTAATGGTCCTCTGAGTCTGATCGGTGTCTGTCTCAGGGTTAGTTTGGCTAAGGCTCTGTCAAACTTCCGTTTTCAAAGAACCAGCATTTTGTTTCATTGGTTATTATTAGGAGTTGTTACTTCCATTTCATTAGCCTCTGTCCCATTCTTGGTATTTCTGTCTATTGAGTTTTGGGTTTGACATGTTCTCTTTCTCTTGAGGTGCGTCATTAAGTTATTGAGTTGTGATCTGTCTCTGTCTCTCTCTCTGTCTCTCTCTCTCTCCAGGCATTTGTAACTGTAAACAAACTTCTTAGAAATACTTTCATTGTATTCCTTGGGTTCTGATACTCTGTTTTTGATTTCCTTGAATTCCGGAATTTTTAATTTCCCTCCTGACTTCTATGACCTATTTATCATTCAGTGCTGGGTTATTTATTCTGTGTGACCTTTTGTATTCTGTGGTCTCTCTCATGGCTGATCTCCCAGCTTTGTTCCAGTGCAAACAGGTAGAATGCAAGTAATTAGTTAAACTTTCTGAAGACTCACTTTGATCCTCAGATTTGACCCATTCTGGAGAAGGGTCCGTAGGCTGCCAGTGAGAATGTGTGTCCTGCACTGTTTGAGTGGACTCATCTTAGATATCTGCTTAAATCCATTTGATCTGTGTTGTCTGACTCCGATATTTCTTTGTTAGTTCTTTTGGTCTGGATGACCTGTTGCTCGCTGAGCATGGGAACGGAAGTCTCCCGATACTGCTTAAGTGTGTGTGTGTTTACACCCTGTGGTATTTATATTTATGAAACTGCGCACATCCTCTTTACCTCTCCTGACTTGCTCTCCGTTGAAGGCCACTTAGCCAGATGTTTCGACAGCAATACCAACTTGCTTTCAAGTTCCGTTGCCTTAGAATGTCTCTTCCTCCCTTTTACCCTGACGCTGTGTTTGGCTTTGCGGGTGAGATATGTTCCCTTGTGGGCAACAGACAGATGGCTCCTGTTTTTTAATCCAATTTACTCCTCTGTGTGCTTTGTTTGGATGTTGGGGCTATTACCATTCAGAGTTAGTATTGAAAGGTGTCCGTGCCTCCCTGACAATTGTAGATTCTATAACCTCGGCACTTTGCCGATCCCCGTTTGCTTGTTGCTGTTCTAGTACGTAGTTCGTTCTTCACTGTAGCCTCTGGGTATGTTTTTTCTTTTCTCTTTGCTATGTAGAATTCCTTCAGGTATCTTCTATAGTGCTGGCTTATTGATGATAAATTCCTTGAGTTTGTGTTTATAATGAAAACTCTTCTTTCTCCATCAACTACAAAGTTTTGTTGGGTATAATAATCTGGATTGCTGATTAACGGTTTTCAGAGCTTGGGCTGCGTTGTTGTATGTCTCTTCTGACTTTTAGCGTTTCTCTTGACTAGTCTGCTGCTCTCTGATGGGTTTCCTCTTCTGTGACGTGGTTCTCCTTTGTAAGTGTCAGTTTCTTTGTTCTGTGTACTCAGTGTCTCGACTATAGGATGTGCGAGGTGCTTTTTTATCTGTGTGGCCATTTCTTCCCTAGCTCTGGGAAATTTTCTGTAGTGATTTTACTATGTCTTTAGCTCGAACTTATCCTGTCTCCTATGCTGAAACAAGCATCATCCAGGTAACCCGAACAGCTGGTTTCTGCATCTGTACCTCGTTTGGACCCTCCTCCTTCATCCCCTCCTCTGCGATTGTGAGTAAGGAGGTCATTAAGATAACTAACAAGTCAAAATAGAACAAGGACTTTGGGTGTGCAGCATTCACAGCTAATTTATGGAATTAGCCTTCCTGTGGCACAGGCCATTGCTGACCAGGTGTGGTCCGGCTTCCCATGGGCCACGTCTCAGGGTAAAAGGAAGAGCTTCCTGAGACAGATGGGCACCCTCGCTCTGAGACCTAGGTTGCCAACAAGGGTCTGTTCTGTGAGAAGTACTGTCTGCTGAGGATGCATTGTTGACATGGGAACCTCTAGCCATTCAGCTCTCCGCCTCTGTTTCTTTAGGGGAGATTTAGACCAGAGGCCTGCCAAAGCCTCCCAACTTTCCTCTGGATGCTTTTACAGAAGTAAAACAAGTTTTCCCCTTTAAAACATCTCTCTGCTTCCACACTTTAAAGAATTGCTTCTCTTCTCCAGAGATTGTGTCACAGAACTCTGATCCTTGCTTCTGACTTCATGCATCTGTTCTGGACAGTTTCCCATTCTCTGTAAAATGGTTTGACTGAAAATGTCGGCCCAAACACAGAGCAGTTCTCCTGGTAATTTAGTAATAAATTTAGTAATTTAGTTTTGAAGACAAAACACCTGGGCTGGGCCTCAGGGGGGCCATTCTTGAAACGGGGCTCCTCGCACATCCAGGTGGATTAATGCTTACTGCAGAAGTCTGTCTGTCTTAGTTACTTAACTTTGTCTGTCTGTCTGTCTGTCTGTCTGTCTGTCTATCTATCTATCTGTCTAATCTAGGTAGGGTTTCTCTTTATAACAGTCCTGGCTGCCCTGGACCTGCTCTATAGACCAGGCTGCCCTCAAACTCAGAGAGATCCACCTGCCTCCGCCTCCCCGAGGGCTAGGATTAAACCTGAGGTTTTACTTCATTTTTGTTGTTTTCATCTGTTTTTAGGCAGGCTTTTCTGCCGTCCTGAGCTGACCTTGGATTTTGACCTTCCTGTGTCTACTCCAGAGTTATGGGAGGCACAATCCAGGGCTCCATGCTTGGCAGGCAGGCACTCTGCCAGCTGAGCTCCATCCCCAGCCCTGCTTTTAGTTTTTCATAAATTATTCCAGGTACAGTGGAGTTGCCTGATTAAGTCCCACTCGGCCTCCAAGGACCGCTAACAATGTGGTGAATCTCGGGGAGAGAAAGCTTCAGGCACTTTAGACCACTTAAAGGCGTGATACTAACCACCTGCCTGCATGCCGTACAAGGAAGGGCCCTACCTGGTATTGCTGTGGTGCGCTGTTCTAAAGAGGGGAAGAAGACAAAGAGGCAGGCATCTAATTGAGCTATGTGTCAGTCAGGATCTATTAACCTGCTGGGAAATGGCCATGTTAGTTCCTCCTTGTGTGAATTAACGCCAGGGCTGACTGTGCTCTGGGATGAAAGTACAGGCCTGTTTAACTTGAAGGCCATGGAGGGCGGTTTGTCAGGAAGTCTGTCAAGCAGAAATTCTCCTGCATCAGCACCCTGGGCTTGGATCACGGTGAAAGCCGTTGGTCCTGATGACCCCGCTTGAGCACATTCAGGACTGGCATGACTTCTGGAATCAGGTGGAAGTTTAGACTCAGCACAGTGTGGCTGAGCGTGACCCACCGGAGGTGCTGCTGTTGTCGGTGAAATTGTAATGTGTGACCATCTGTTATGTAAAGCTTGCCTTGCAAACGCATGGCACTCAGCCCCAGAGGGCATATGTGTCTTTAAACTTAATGAGGTAACTTAAATATCGGTGAGCTTATTTAGTTTTGAGTTTCAAATAGGAATTTCAGCATAGAGGTCTTTGTGCTTCTGGGATCACTGAAGGGACTTCCTCAAGCCTGGTCCTCTCTGACGTGCGGCATGACTCTGACAGGCCTCTGGGGATAATGAGGTGAGGTCTGTCAACCTGGAGCAGTATGACCCAGGAGTCTGCACTCGTAATGTCCCCTGGGTCCACCCTCACCAACTCCCTGGGTTTTGACCTCAGATTGTGTGGTCACCCCTTTGCGGCTAGGATGTCTTCTAGGGACTACTTGAACACAGGTGTTTCAACTCCCTTCTCCTCTCTTCTTTTAGGTATTTTAATGAGATGTCAGCACAAGGATTAAGACCTCGCACTGTGTCCAGCCCAATCCCTTACACGCCTTCTCCCAGTTCCAGCAGGCCTATATCACCCGGTGAGTGTAACCTTCGCTACCACAGTGTCGCTGGTTTCCGAGTGGTTTCCGGGGGATGAGGGGGCACTGGGGATTGAACCCAGGGCCTCACACAGGTTTAGCAAGTGCTCCCCACCGATTTTCAGCCAGCTCTTCTGGCGTGTTTAATCAGCAGTCTTGGTTGTGTTCTCTTCTAGTTTGTGTTTTTCAAAAATAAGTCACTGTCAGTACTGAGTGTTGGCTTGAAGATCTTAAACACAAGAACTGTGTGGGGGAGGGGTATTACTACTTTATTATTATTTCAATTTCAACTTTTATTTTTGAGGCTTCACACCATCGATATCTGCCTCTTCCTCTGTGTTCACTGAGCTTTAGATACAGATTATTTTTTAACCTAGGTTTGACCTCAGAACCCCTTTCTAAAAGAAGACTGTGTGTGACTGGTTTCGGGATGGGCAGGGTCCCTGGGTAGAGTTCCAAGATGCTTTACCATGTGTCTGCTGAGGGTCCTTTCACTGCGTTCCTGCTTCTGGTGATACTGTAGGCATCTTTCTTCACTTGTGAAAATAGAAGAAGCTGCCATTCTTGGGTTACCAGCTCTCAGTCATTGGGCCAAAAAGAGGCCAGGCTGGGCTTCCTTGTCCAACATCAAGCTCCAAGCCTGAGCTGCCTCTTGATACGTCAGTGATACGTGAACCAGACCCGGAAAGCCAGAAAGAAGCAAGGCAGCTGCAGCTGTTCCTTCTGCTTTGTTCCCCAGCATGAATGTCTTCACCTGATTCCCAAAATACTCCTCAGTGTCCCAGGCCCAGCACCAGCACTGCCTGACGCTCCAGCATTGGTGGATCAAGTACAGGCTCCACCCTCAAGGGACGAGGAGGAAGTGGGGCGGAAGGTGGTTGGCAGGGGTAGTGGGGTGGGGGGGAGACATAGACTGGCACACTCCTGTTTATGTGCTACCTGATGAACAAGCTGCAGATGGAGTTGAGGGACAAGTCTGCAGGGGTGGTGCCAGGTGGGAGGAGTGGCACAGTTAGGGGTGGCCCTCCTGAGGCTTTGTGGGGACAGTGATTAGTTTTGTCTGATGTCATGACCGAAGCAAGGGTTTCCCTTAAGGACGGTGAAGAGGACATGATTCTCTCGAGCGACTGCAGTGAGGACCGAGTGGCAGAAGTGTCTTGGCTTTATCCGTTTGGGGTCAGGCCAGCACTACCGGGACTTTTGATGATATTATTAATATTATTATTTTGCTGGGTCTGGGAACCACATGCAAGCAGTACGCTCGGAAGTCAGAAGGAAACATTGGGCCCCTGAGATTAGAGTTGCAGCTGGTTGTGAGCTACCACATGGGGGGTACTGGGCATTTACGTCAGGTCCTCTGGAAGAGCAGCCAGTGCTCTAACCACCGGGCCATCATTCCAGTTCTTTACCATACCCTTTCCCTCTTCAAAGGAGACTCTCAAAGCTAACGGGAACGAGTCCCCCACATGGTGGCAACTGTTAGAGATAGGAGCCCTCTGAGGCAAAGGCCACCAAGGATGGCCAGGGATTCCTACCCTGTGTGGCTGGCCATTGTTCCTTGTGTCTTGCCAAAATGATGTTCCCAAATCTGGATCCTGTAGGAGGAGGCCACTTATTTGTCCCGGCCGCCCAGAACTGAAATAATCACACAGAAACTGTATTCATTAAAACACTGTTTGGCTCATTAGCTCTAGCTTCTTATTGGCTTTTACATCTTAATTTAACCTATTTCTATTAATCTGTATATCGCCATGTGGCAGTGACTTACCAGCAAAGATTCGGCATGTCTGACTCTGGAGGCTCCATGGTGTCTCTCTCTCTCTCTCTCTCTCTGACTCTACCTTTCTTCCTCCCAGCATTCTGTCCAGTTCTTCCTGCCTACCTAAGTTCTGTCCTATCAACAGACCAAGGCAGTTTCTTTATTCATTAGTGGTAATCACAGCACACAGAGGGGACTCCCACATCAGAATCCCTTCCTCTAGTCTCCAGTGGCCTTAAGTCTGTCCCCGAAAGCCTCTCTTAGCTGCCTCTCTACTTTGATCACCACGATAAAGGTCTCTTTTTATCTTTTGATTTATTGGCATAAAAGGAAGACTTAAGTCAGGATTGTAATGGGGGAGGGTTACTTAGTAACAGGCAGAAATGCAAACTCATGTTGAGTGTAATTTAATACCTTATTTGATTTGCTTAAAACTTAACAATTTCTAGAGACATGTCATTTCTAAACAATCAGAAAATATACCACAGGCATTGACTGGGGTGGGGCCAGCAAATGTGAGAGTTTGTTTCTGTTGTTGAAATGTTCTTCAAGGCAATCTTACTGCATTTGTGTAACGGTACCAAGATCTTCTCAGTAGCTTGTTTGGATGTGTCTAAATCAGGAATGGGCAGTAACTAGGTCTAAAAGCAGCTTTGTGTCCCCAGTAACAGTGAGTGCATCCAGAAGCCAGATTTGGTTTCTGTCTTCGTTCTCAGTTAAAAGGAACTTGGGCCACTTGGAAAGATGGGCGTGTGACATCTTCGCAAAGTGAAGAATTTCTCAGAAATAATGGTAAGGCTATGACAGAGAGTCAGGAGTCCCCAGGTACCAAAGCTAGGACAGTGTGACCAATCAACGCCATGGACAGCCATGACCTCAGCAGTGGGCGTCAGAAACTGCAGCGCTTCCCAGTGGTGTTATTCCCTAGCGGTTTGGGGACACTCTGATCTTTCCTGTTGAAATTCTTAAAATGTGTCCCTGTCCTTAAGCTGTGGTATTTTCTGTTCAGCAGCCTCTATGCAGATTTCCAGGTTCATCAAGAGTTAGCTGCCGTTGTTACTGTTTATTCTCTAATGTATTCCTGGGCCAAAAGGTGAGATCATGGTTATTAAGATTTAAGAGAGAATGAAAAAATAAGATCCCCTGACTTAATAATTATATAATCAATAAGGCCTGGGGAAGATAGTTAAAAGAAAATACACTGATAACTTAACTGAGGCCTTTTAGTCATCTGAGGGTGTCACAGCAGTCAGGTTTGCTAGTGGTGGGATTTATAGCACAATGAGATGAAATGATCCGTCCTTGTGGCTCAGTACTAGATGGCAGATTGTCATCACTGCCCTGAACACCATTCCCTTGATTGATTGATTGATTGATTGATTGATTGATTGATTGATTTGGCTGGGGTTAGGGTTAGAGTCAAAGGGCTTGGTGTTCACAGTTGAGAATTACTGACCTAGAGCATCAGAAGGGGAGAGAGAGTGTGTGAATGAATGGATGCATAGATGGATGGATAGTAGATAGGCAATAGAGAGACTTTGAAGATTCGTGGTTCGTAGTTTAACATAATTATAATTATTCTTCAGAAAAATTAACCTAGTAAATAGGCTGGATTTTTTTTTGTTTCATGAAAAGAATCTATTTTTAATGCTATTTTATATTCTTATGTGTATGAATTCTTAACCTGCATATGTATGTGTACATTTCATGTATACCTGATTCTCTCAGAGGTCAGGAAGAGGGGGTTGGGTCTCCTGGAACTAGATGGTTGGGAATCGAACTCAGGTCCTCTGCAAGAGCAGCCAGTGCTCTCAACCCACTGAGTATTCTTAATTAAGAGATTCCTTGAGCACTCTTTAAAATTAAGGAGTCGTTTTATTTCTGCGGGGTAGGGGATTGAAGGTATTTATTCATTTGGTTTTGATTTTTTTCTTAATGGTGGGGACTGAATCCAGACCTTGGGCCCATAGCCAACTATTGTTCCCTTGAGTGGGACATTCCCGTTCCCACCCCCAGTCAAACCATTACTTTCATAAGAAGCAGAATTAGCACTTTGTTCCAGGCTGTTATTTGAAGATGACCTCTTGAATCTCAGCGCATCATAAACATCACTGTAAACGATTGCTTTGGTCTAAATGACTTCACAGAGCACCGCTTTGTGAATGCGCGTCAAAAAATCAATCGGAGGTGGGAAATCTGTCCAGACAGAAAACGCCACTGACGTCATCAAGTCAGGAAATAAGCTCTGAGCATTTGATCTGAAAGGCACAGAAAGGTCCTGTCAGAGACTCACTCGGAGTGTCTTTGTGGAAGGGCATAGGTAGCGCAGCTTGTTCTCACTAACGCAGGGCGACAATAGTTTATAAAGCTTGGCCTCCAGCCACCTGCGGGCTCTTAAGAGAAATTGGTGACACCAGTCCTTGTCCAAATCCTTCTCCATTAGTGTTTTTACTTCATTTGTTTTTATAGCTCTTTTAGTTGCACTATGACCGGACGTTTGACATGAAGCAGCCTAAGGGACAAAGAGTGGGTTACAGCCCGTCCGTCAGAGAAGACCGTGGGGACAAGAGCCTGAGGCAGCCGGTCACATTGTATCCACAGGCAGGGAGCAGTCTGGAAGTGAGGCTGCACTGTATAAACCTTAAGGTTCTCCCCTGCTTACTCCCACCTCCTGAGGCCCTACCTCTTCCCAGACAGTGCCATCTGCTGGGGACCAAGTGTTCACGTCCACCTGTGGTGGAAGAGTGGACGTGAGGCACTGAAGCCACAGCAAGGCCCCACCCTGTGCAGTGTGTCCGTGTAGACGCTAGGAGTGAAGGTGTAAAGCACTGGATTGATGGGACGTCAGTGTTGCCCAGACCAGTGCAGCTTCCGTACAGCTCTCTAGGGCTCCTTAGACTGTCCACAGTTAAATCACTGAGTATTTCAAATCGGGCTAATTGGACCCCGAGGACAACCTCAGCATCATTCCTCAGGAGTGCGCTGTCCATCTTGTTCTGAAGTAGTGTCTCTCATCGACCTGAAGCTCACCAATTCAGCTAGGCTGTCTGCCTGGCAGGCCCCAGGGACCCTCCTGGCATGTTACCCGGGCGATCCTCACGCAGGGGCAGCAAGGACCTCACCAATTGAGCCACCTCCTCAGCCCTGATAGGTGTTACTTTCTTGGCGTCTTTCAGGGAACATCAGCATGTGTGGGGCTTTTGTATCCTGTGTCAGACATTTTCAGGTTGCGAAGTTTGTATACATTCACACGCTTACACACACATGCACACACAGTTGCCCTATATAATTATTACTGGTATTATCTCATCTCTCTTTTTCCTTTTCTTTACATTTAATTTTCACCCTTATTTTCTCCTTGGTTCTTCTATATTCTTACTCTGTAAAGGGAAGAACTGGCAAGACTTGACTTTTTTTTTTAAGCTATGATGAGCACTTAGCCTGAGATCTGCCCTCTCTCTGAGTGTACAATACTGTGGTTACCTGCGGGCGCAGTGCTCACCAGCCTCTCTCTGCGTCTTGCTATGCAGAAGCCTCACGCCGACACAGCAGCAGAGCCCGCCTTTCTCCCCTCCTTCCTGGTCCCTGGCAGCCACTGTTCTGCGTCTGCTTTGCCGTTTTAGATTCCGCGAATACACGGATCTGTGCAGTATCGGTCCCTCTGTTGTTGCGCGAATAATAAAAACCCAGAGAGAGACCTTGGGGCTCAAGCAGATCAGAAAAGCAAAGCAGCGAAGCCACTAGAAAAGTCTCACCTCTGCCAAGGCTGGGCGACTGCAGACTGAGCCCTGAGCCTCTGTCTCCTCCTTTCTTCTAGTCCCCTCTAGTGCTGGGATTACAGACGTGTGACTCCCTGATACTGCGATTAAAGGTGTGAGCCACCACCACCTGTATCTGTTTCTGCATTGATCTTGTGTAGCCCAGAGATCCATCTGCCTCTGTCTCCCAAATCCAGGGATTAAAGGTGTGTGACACCACTGCCTAGCCTCTAGTGGCTTAGTATTACCCTCTGATCTTCAAACAAACTTTTATTATTAAAGCATAAATAAAATACCACCATACTCTGAGACTGTTTGACTTGGTGTAGTGCTCTCTGGGCGTAAGGCAGTACTCACCGTCTGTATCCCTGGGTCCTTGGTCTGCTCAGCCTCTGGCCGGCTGTTAGGCTGTTTGCACATTGCAGGTTTTATCCACTGTTCCACACAGACGTGTCCTGCGGCTTCCTAACCTATTTGATGCTTGTGTGTGGTGTCATATTAAAGGTGTTTGTTCGTTGGTTGGTAGCAGGCTTTCTCTTGGGCCACTCAACCAGCTCCCAAATCATGATATGGAGACTTCTTATTAGTTTGGAATGTTCAGACTTATTTTATTCTTGTTCTGTGAGCTCTTATAACTTAACCTGTTTCTCGTCGTCTACATTTTGCCTCGGGCTTTTGACATTTCGCTCCTTCTGTATATCTTACTTCCACCCCTGCTTGTGTCTGGCTGGCTGGTGGCTGCCTGGTTTCTCCTGGCGTGTCCCTTTCTTTCCCTTGTTTTCTTCTCCTTTTCTCTTCTCTCTCACTCTTAGCTTTTGTCTCCTACTTATTCTCTCTGCACACTAGCCCTGCCCAGTCCTCTCCTGCCTAGCTATTGACCGTTCAGCTTTATATTAGACCAGACAGGTGCTTTCGGAAGGCAAGGTGAAACAGCAACACATCTTTACCTAGTTCAACAAATCGAGCAAAAACATACAACGCACCTTCACATAGTTAAAATAACAGCAGAAACAGATGTAACACATCTTTGCCTAGGTAAAGTACTATTCCACAGTGTATGTTTGTTTGTTTTTCCCTGTGGATATGAAGTTTTCCCGACACTACTGAAGAGACCATTCTTGTCATCCTTTCTGCAACTCTTGGCCGCCATCTAAAGGGTCATTTGGTGAACTGCGGCCACGTTCATGTCTGAGATGACTGTTCGATTCCTGTGTTCGATAGTTGTGTTTGTTTGTTTTTATGCCCCTTGCTACCCACCGTGCCCACTGAGTGGCCCCACACCTTTGCACGTCTGTTTTTATTGAAAAGTTCCCTAGAGGACTCTAGACAATCCAGCTACAAATAATGCTGAACCTCGTTGCCCTTGTTTGTGTTTCAGGTCTTTCCTACGCGAGTCATACGGTTGGTTTCACACCACCAACCTCCTTGACCCGCGCCGGGATGTCTTACTACAACTCTCCAGGCCTCCACGTTCAGCACATGGGAGCCTCTCACGGCATCACGGTAAGTGTCCTTGCTGGGCGCCGGCAGCTCCTCACTCACAGAGTGCGGCTGCCGCCCGCCTTTGCCACCTTGTGTCGTGGGTCACTTCTCCATCTGGACACAGTATTCCCAAGAACTGCCACAGAGTTCTGGTGTTGAAACTCATAACCCCCAGATGGGGAAACTCATCTTCTTTTGTGGAGATTGCACGCTGCGAAATGTAATTTGAACTCTGGACAATGTCTTCACTTCAGTGCCATAAAGCATTGTCGGTGGTTTCCATAATCGCCAAAAATACCTATTCTCAATGCCTTTGCAGTTCACTGACCCTCAGTGGCTTTCCCAAAAGTTGCCCTGACTTCCAGATTTAATTTTCTCTCTCCTGGCTTCAGGAGGGTCAAGTTCATCCGGTTCTCGCGCTCCACTTGGGAGAGTAGCCCTGCATACGTGGCTGTGCAGTTTGGCTGAGAGGACAGGAAGAAACGTGAGAATAGGATGGAGGAGAGAAACTAACTCAAAGAGCCTTCCTCCGTGAAATTACGTGGGGCGCCCATCCACGTCTTCTGAACTTTGAAGGGTGTTGTGTAAAGGCAGAGGGTGCTGTGGTGTGACCCCTCAGATTGTGAGAAAAAGCCAAACAATGGAGGGGAGTGAGGGTGCACAGGTGACAGTGTTTAAGGGGATAGTATGGCATCTTTATTATTATTTTGTTTTATTAAAGACCCTAATTGCGTATTTGACTATGAAAAATGCATTATCGTTTTTGTATTAACCTTCTTCACAGGTAGGTGTGATGAACCTACCACTTTGTTTGTGTTGTCCCAGATAGTTCAGGAACCACTAAAGATAAAGAAGGAACCCATGGCTTTTCTGACCCTCGTTGGCCTAGGTTCCGTCCTCCTCAGCCCCGATTCTGACTTCGTTGAACTTGAACTGATATCCCAAACTGACCGGCTGTCCCTGTGTCCTCCCTACAGAGGCCGTCGCCACGGAGAAGCAGCAGTCCTGATAAATTCAAAAGGCCCACGCCTCCTCCATCTCCCAACACACAGAGCCCAGTCCAGCCACCTCCGCCACCGCCTCCGCCCCCCATGCAGCCCGCGGTCCCCACGGCAGCCCCATCCTCGCAGCCCGCCCCGTCCTCGCAGCAGCCGCATTTGGTGCACCCCTCCTCCCAGCCTTAATGCATGAGCTTAGTCAGAATTTCAAGTCGGGACTCGTCTGATGGAGCGCCTTCTCAACGCCAAAGGCTTCCTTCCTGGCCTATTTGGATCTGATGTGTTTGCACTGAGGTTGTCTAGCTGCCCTCCTCGTAGTGTCGTGAATGTTCGTCAGAAACGCAGCCGGTGTTGCGGGTCCTGCAACACTAACCAGATGACTTTTTCCATCGGTGTTTTACTTGAATCTCCGTGTCCGTCATTCCCTGGCTGGAACATTGCTATCTGGTATTTGGTCACAAGAAGCAGTGTGCAAAACCCCACACCCGACGCCCGGCCCCAGGGCTTCTCTTCTTGGCTTTTAGGTCTGTCAAATAGGAAAGAAAATCTCATTTTAGAACGTTCTTCTGTGAACTTGCAGGAGTTTACTGAGCTGTTAGTAACCCTCCTTCTCCAGGTCACAGGGGAGTTTACCAAACTATACCAAGAATCCGAGCACTACAGTACAGTTCAGACCTTTGCAAACCTAACTTATGAGTATAGGATCGGAAGTGAGATGAATCGGTGCCCACAACACGTCTAGTGTAGAGCTTTCTACAAGACACACTTTTTACAGGTTGTTTTTTGACGTAAATTGACCGCGTGTCTCTTGTAAAGCGGCCTACAGACACAAATCACACAGGTGTAGCTTCTCCCCGTGCGTGGGGTGGGAACTATCGCCTGTTGAGATGCGATTCCATTCCTTTCTCCTTCAAGTTAAGCCACCTAAGCCGGTCCCCTCTGCCGTGAGCAGGTAGATGCCTTCCCTCTGGTGATCTTGATGGCTGACTCCAGTGCTGTTTTGGAGCTTTGCTGCAGGGGCCATGAGATTGTAACAGAGCCGAAATGGTGATACCCCCGCCCCCCATTCTTTTGTGCTGTCCTGAGCCAGGGTGCATAGGTATTTCCCAGGTACAAAACACTCTTAGGAAATACTGTTTGAAGTGTCGGTGGCATCTTAGCGTGATGGCCAAGGGGCACTTGACAGAGAGGAAGCGTAGCCAGCAAAGGAGCTCATTGGCCTTGCTGGCAACTCACGGTGCCCATCGTAAGTAAGCCAGGAGAGTACCGAGGAGGTTCTGAACATGATTGCCATTTATTCGGCACAAATCACTGCGGGTGGAGCGCCGTGTGGCTCTGTTACCTTCATTTCTGTTTGTCGGCCGTTACTTTGTGCTTTCGTAGTCAAGTGCTTTTTCCCTGCCTGTGTTTGCATATTTATATATGCCGTGGATGAAAATAACTTACTAGAGAATGTATATTTTATGATGAGAAACGTGAATCTGTTGGATATAATCAGAGAACTGAAAATTAATTTATCAGTCATTTTCAAGAGTTCATGTTTGTGACAGCCATCTCCAATAGCGACTCCTCACGGAACACACTCCTGAGAACAAGGAAATACCCTGGTGACATTGTAGATATTTAATATTGTACAGTCTAGGAACCTCCATTTTTGCCTTCGAATGCATATTTAAGAGCTAACAGAATGAGAAAAGCGTTATGGGATGCTAGTGTTGGACGGCCTTTTAAGGACTTGAGGATAAGAACCACCGTAGGACCTTTCACCTCTTCTCTTCCTCCCCTACACTGAGAATGTTACCCTCCGACGACCAGGAAGAAACTGTCGGTCTGTGAAAGTTTTATTTTTAAGATGTGTGTGTGCGCGCGCGTGCGCACGCGCGATGTACCAGCCATGGTGCCGTTATCAGACCCAGGGTGGAGGCTGGCGCTGTCGAGGCGGTAGGTTTTCAATGTCAGACTAAACCCGGGCATTTCTCCAGCAACTTCCTGACCCTCTTGGTACATGACCATTCCAGGGAAATTCTGAGGCTAGGGCGGAAGAATTCTTCCTTCACGGTACAGTCTTGAGGTTTTTTTTTATTTTATTTTCCTTGCGAGAGAAATTTGGTATGTGTTTACAAGACTTTTCTGGGATTGTAGATTTCAGTCCTGCTGGCTAGCGGCTTCTACTCCAGCACACAAGTCCGTTCTGTAAAGATCTCTCCCCCGCCACTCATCAGCTTAGCCGCCTCCTAGAAGCACAAAAGCAAAGGCTCCGCTGTGCGGCAAGCAGAGCCTCTCAGAGCTAGGTTCTTGGCGTTCAGGCTTGTCTCGGACAATGTCCCGCAGATCCCTCTAGACCCCTCCCTTCCCTCGAAACGTTCCTCTCTCAGCACTTTTTAGCGCAATCCAGTTGCTTCTCCCTGCAGGCAGCAAGACCAAGAGAACAAACACTACATCTGAATTTAGGAGACTTTGTGTTACTTTGGAAGCCAGCAGTGATAGGAAAGGGAAGCAGCTGCTGAGCCCCCAGAGACAGGAGACTCCTTACTACGGGGAAACCCTTCCTAGGTGGGTTGGGGCCAGACATGGCGCTCTGGGGTTCAGTTCCCTTCTCTCACGGGCTGACTCTGGATTAACATCAGTAGCCATCCTCAGCAGGTGAGAGCGACAGTACCATCGGTGGCTCCACCTCCTGTCGTGTTGACAGAGACCCTCGGGTACCACTGTGCTGCTAAGAGGTTGAGGGTCTCTTCCCAGACACCCTCGCCTTCATACAGAACCCAGTCTACAAACCCAGCGCCCAGCGCCTCTGGGCTCTGACCTGCTTTCTCTTGTCAAGCATGCTGGCCTTCTAGACAGACTTCTAGACCTTTGGCCAATGTGGAAGTGTTTAGGATTTTATTTATACGTCTTGGTTGATTGGAAAGGAGACAACAGTTGGCGGGTGACCACGGAATGAATGTGTGACCAGAATGTGGCTTTGACACCTCATGCTGCTGTGCCTTTGTCATTGGCTTCTGATTCGACCAGATATAATTCATAATGTGAATTTTTGTTGATCCTTCAGCTGTAGGAAAACAGTGTGTATCCTCCATTGTTGGGTAGGGTAGACGTGATCTTGCCCTATACAAAGCTCTGCTCTTAAAGATAAACCCAGGAGGACAGGAAAAAGCATGGCGATGCATGCTTCAGAAAGGGTGTTTTTTAAAAGTGTGGGAGAAAGTTTCCTGTGTAACTTTATCTTCTGTCTAGTGCTTGTCTCATAGGATAACCAATGCTGAGAGCTTGTAGCGATGACTACCAAAGACATGCGTAGTAAAGCTTCAATTTCCAATGATTAAAGAGCCAGCCATTGACGCTGTTCCATGGTTCCTTCTCAGGAGCCATTGGGAAAGACTAAAAGATTCTTAGGGGTTTTTTTTTGTTAAGTTTTAGTTGTTTTTTTTTTAAATTTTTTGATAAAAATGGGTTAGCCTACCATTTTGGGGAGCATTTTCCAGAATGCTCAGCAGTTGTGATTACTGGCCACACCCAGGTCGCCTGTCCTTGAGTGATCAGTGAGATCCTCTGTGTGTGCAAGCATGGGTGCTGTGTGTGTGCACGTGTACGTGTGTGCATTCATGCCTTAACTTGGGTTACTGCTCAACTTCGCTGTTTGACTCGGTCCTCAACATCATCAGATTGTATTGTGCATCTTGATCTGAACTTCATCCTGGCCAAAAAAATAAATAAATAATTTAAAAAACACACACACAAAAAAAAGATTGCAGGCACCACAGGTTGGAATGCATTCCTTCGGAAGACTGTCCAGTCAGATGCACCCTGAGTTGTTTCCACAGACTTTTATTTGGGACTTCATTTGGAAAGAGAGCAGACTGTCAAATGGGAAGATGTCAACAAGGAAGAGAGGAGAGCCAAATGCTAGCATGCCCTCTGCCTCTGCACACCCGTGTGCTCTGTGTGTCGTTCTGATAGCCTGTCTACAACTTGACTGGCTTGGAGTTCAGGTAATGGTGGCAATCCTGACCTTCTCTGTTGGAGTTTAGAGAGACGTAAGATGTCCAGTTAATGTCTTATTTCCTTTATGTTGATCAGTCTTTAATACATGTGCTGACTCAGAAAACCTAAATAAAGATAATTTTTTAAAATGTACCTCTTGAACCATAAACTTCCCCCTCGTTCTTTCTGGTCTTTTGAGTTGGAAGCGATCATTGTTTGGTGTTGGTTCCAACAGACTTTCAAAGTAAATCCAATTATAAACTCTAAAGACATCCAGAGGAAGTAAACGTAGGAAGGCAGCATAAATGGGCTAGTGTGGTTTTCCTTTTTTATAAATACTAAAGAGGGAAAAAAAATGTGGATTTTTTTTCTGCATGTATGTCCACATACTACATGTGTTCAGTGCCTGCAGAAGCCAGAAGGCGGCATTGGATCCCTTGCAACTAGAGTTAGAGGAGGTTGTGAGCCACCACGGGGATGCTAAGAACTGAACGCAGGTCCTCTGAAAGAGCAGCCAGTGCTCTTAACCCCTGATAGGTCCCATGGTTTTGAACCTTGATAGGGTGTTTCTGCCCCAATATGCTGTATTTCAAGTTCAAACAGTAAACCTAGAGGGATGCACATATATACGTGGGGGGCGGGGGGAAGGAAAGCTACACTCCCAAAATGTCACATGGGGACCCACATGCACAGGCATGCACCATAGGGCGTGTCAGTGGATGGTGCATCATCCTGAAAGCCTCCAGTGATCTGGACAGCCAGGCTGTTGTGAAATGCTGTGTGTTGGACATGTATGTAATGGACCTGTATGGATAGGCCTGTGACACCAACCCTATCTAAACAGTGCTCATTGTCACTACAGTATGTAGTAATAAATGTATTTTTTAAATGTATTCTATTTATTAAAAGTTTACTCTTGGGCCAGATAAATCTATCTGCTATAAGCCTGACACCCTGAGTTTGAACTCTGAGACTTCATGTGGTAGGAGAGAACCAACTCCTGTTAAGCTGTCCTCTGGCCTCCACCACCCTTCAGTACACACATGCACAAAATTAATAAAAATTAATAAAAAAGAACAAAACTTTCTAAAACAATTTGCTGTGTAGCCCCAGCAGCAGCCTTAGTATAGCTCATGTGTCTGTACCCCATCAATAGGTCAGGAAAATAACAGTATCTGGGATGATGTGTGTGTAGTAGAGAATATTCCAGATAGGTATCCATGTGTTGGAAGAACCTGTGGCTTGTCAGTTGCATTTTGATAAGGCTGGGTGGGGTGGGAGTGCATAGTAGCAGAATCCTTTAAGGAATGGAGTCTTTAGGAATTCATTTCATTGGGTCAAAACTAATCCGCCCCCCCCCCTTTTACTTTAATAGTAAAGCTTGTCTTTTAGGGAGAAGGCAGTTGGTGTCTCAATTCCTCCCCCCCCCTTTTTTTAAAATACTTTGAATCAGAGAAAACTTCCAGAGTTGTGGTGGTGCACACCTTTAATCCAGCACTCAGGAGGCAGAGGCAGGCAGATCTTTTGAGTTTGAGGTCAGTCTGGTCTAAGAGTGAGTTCCCAGATAGCCAGAGCTACACAGAGAAAACCCTGTCTCGGAAAACAAGAGAGAAGACCTCAAAGGAATTGGTTTTTAGGCAGAGTTTAGAATGGATGGATGGAGCCTCCCTCCTGGGTTCACAAGTCGGGGGTGCAGGAGGCTTGGAAGTGATTCCTGGAATTGGAGTCAGTGGCGGAAGGGAAGGCAGCACAAGGCTGGGGAACTGGCTGCTTGCTGGGCAGTGAGGGCAGCTGGAACTGATCTCCAGTGGTTAAGAGAAACCTCACACACGCTTCCGGATTGTTCCAACCGGTTGTGGGACCGCTGGACCACCGGATCCCTTTACCCATTGACTAAAGGCAACTCTGGGAAGAAGGACCCTCCCTCTCTTCATTGAGGTTTTCTGTGCTGTGTTTCAGAGTCTTGGGAGGCAGCAAATGAATGGCCCACCCTGTGATTTGTGAGGGATTACAGCCAATGGCACAAGTCACCATGGTGAAGTCAGGTAGCCTGCGGGGTGGAGTGGGGGTAACCATCTCACCATCACTGATTCAGCCTGAAGCATTGATGGAAAATTGGAATTCATTTTAAGTGAGGCGTCTATAATATAAAACAACAACAAAAACCCCACCAGATTGCTGCTTCTCTTGGAAAAGTGCAGGAAGGCTGCTATTGCAGTCATTGTGGGTTGAGGGGTCGGTGCACCTGGAGGGCAGAGAGCCCCCGCCCTCTCCAGGGCCAGTCTGCCTGCCATTGTAGTTATTAAACCATGGATCTGCAGACTCTTGAGGTCGTGACCTACTTGGAAAGGTCATAGGTTGAATACGTGAAGTCCAGTACAGCCAGTCTAGTGTGCTCATGGGAAAAAGGAACAGAAATTAAAGCCTGCCTTGAAGAAAGGCATAGACCAGACGTTCCTGGACTCATATCCAGATAATCATAAGACAATTAAATGTACCCAGGGGACCTTGGTAAATGAGACTTCCTTGCGTACCTCAGGCTATAAAGTGGGATTAGTGTTTGTCTGTTCTGTGGCTATAGTATCCTCTAATGCAGTGATTCTCAACCTGTGGGTTGTGATCCCTTTGGATCACTTAAGACTGTTGGGAAACTGATATTTCCATTATAATTAATAACAGTAGCAAAATTGGAGTTAAGAAGTAGCAACAAAAATAATTTTATGGTTGGGTGGCTGGGGGTTGCTACATGAACTGTAGTTAAGGGTCTCAGCTTTAGGAAGATTAAGAATCATGATCTAAAGATAGGGGAGTTCAGCCAATCACATTGTTTTGGGGGCGTGCCGCCCTTAGGCCAAAGCTTGCCTATAAACCTAGCAAGCGAGCTCCCACTAGCTCCTGCGTCCGGACAGATCGTTTGGATTCTGGTGTAAGCTGGTGTAAGTCTTACTTCTGTTTATTAAAGCTGTATATTTTGTATTAAGATAGTCTGGGGACTTTTCATTACCGATCGCCCTGCGACTTCAATCTAATGCGTTCCTTATAACATGGATTTGGGGGGGCGGGGGTTTGAGACAGGGTTTCTCTGTGTAGCCTTGACTGTCCTGAGACAGTGTAGACTAGGCTAGCCCTGAACTCACAGAGATCCATCCAGCTGCCTCTGCCTCCTGAGTGCTGGGATTAAAGGTATGTGCTACCGCTGTCCTTCTACAAGATGTGTCTCGGGGTGGGGTTAGCAGGTTGAGGTGGGGCAGGTCTGGCATTATAAAGAGATCTAAAGAATGACATATTTTAAAAGTCCTGGCTCTCCTGAGTGTTCTGGGACACACTTTTAATCCCAGCACTAGAGAGTCAGTGGCGGAAGGATGTCTGAGTCCCAGACCAGCCAGGACTATACTGTGAGACCATGTCTCATAAACAACGAACCAAAAGCCCTACCTCTCTGAAAGTAGCCCTGATTCATATTGCTTGCTAATTTCTTTAGTGTAAATGTTCCAGTCGCAAGTGACTTCGAACTGTAGCTTCGTTTACCATGTAACGGTGTCAGCTATAGTCTTGTGCGCATGAGAAAAGCAAGACAGAAGCTGGCGCGTTGCTTAGGGGTAGAACACTTGTCCTGCTAGCGCACGGTCCTGGGTTCTCTCCCCAAGCCACATAAACCGGAAGTGGTGGTGCACACCTGCAGTGCTAGCGCTTGGAAGTGGGAGGCAGAGGGTCGGAGTTCAGGTTATCTTCAGCTACATAGCGAAGGGGAGGCCAGCCTGGAACAGATGAGACAATGTCTCGAAGAAAATAACAAAAGTAGAATGAATTTAAAAAAGAAGTGTGTTAAGGATTATCTTTTTCTCTTATCTGTTTTTTTTTACCCAAATTCTGTGTAATTTAATTTTTAAGTGTCTGGTCTACGACCAGGTGATTGTTCCTAGATGTAATAGTTGACCCTCATGAGCTTTGCTCCAGCGCATCTGGGCTTGAGGACAATAGAGGCTTTGCTCTCCAGCATGCCTGTCCATCCTTTAGCCCACAGGCCACATGTGGCCACACGTGACTAAGAATGTCTGTGAATGCAGCCCAACAGAAAATCTGAAACTTCTTTCCCCATGATTTTTGCACTGGGGAGAGCGGTTGGCCGGTTTGTGACTGCACTGCCCTGTTCTCAAGCTTGAACTTTGTCGACGACAATGTGGAACGCCATGGTGTTGTGAAGTCTGGGCTTGCCATGACCTTTGGTGCTTGGCGAGTCCCTCTCGGGGCAGGGCCAGGGAAGGGGTGGGGGAGCAGCAGTGATTTATGTGGGAAACTCGCAGCCCAAGCACAGCTAAAGGCGTGGAGGAAGGCATAAGGTCGAGTGAGACTCTCTTGGGAATCGCAGGACCCTGAGACAGCTGTCATGTGGAAAGCGTCTCGTGCACCAAAAGCTAACCTGTCTGTCAGTCTCTGACTGTGTCTTTGTTGAGTGTAGTTTTCCACCTCCCTGCCTTTTTCTTCCCTTGCCACCACCCTGTGCTTCAGCCTGGACAGGAACCTGGAAGCTGTAAAAGCAGGAGCATTAGTTAACAGTGGGAGGAACTCGGGTGGGCGATCTTTTCCTCTTAGCAGTCCCGTGTTGGATGTTCTAGGTGGAGTTGGCTGCTCCTCACCCCGCTCTCTGTCTTGGGTTTCACAGACTTCAGATGACTTGCCTGGGATCAGTGGGCAAGGCCAAAGAATCTGGTTCCAGAAACACGGTCTCAGCCACTTAATGGGCAAAAACAGTTGAGGTGGGATGCCCGGTCACCCTGGGTGTCTGCGACTGAGGCTGAGAATGGTGATACACACCTGTGCTCAGCGATTTTTCCAGACCCAGGTGTACCAGGGCACGCTTAGTGCTCTGCTGGCCACATCGGGCCCTTGTAACATCTTCTGCCTCCTTGTCACAGTCCCTAGGTCATTACTCACAATAATACTATGAAAATGTTTGCTAACTGGCCACATGGTGTAAACAGCACGTTCCTTTAAATCAGCCCTCTCCCCATGTATGTGGAGGTCAGGAAGCAACCTTGATGGTGTTCCGAACCTTCCACCTTAAGACTTGTTAAGGTCTCTTACTGGTTTTTTTCTTTTCCACTGTGTACCCAGGCTAGCTGTCATGTGAGAACCTGCAGATTCCTTTCCCG